CTGTGCTATTCGTTTTGTAACCAACGCCCCATATAAAACTCATCACTGTACCCTTTATTCACTAGTTGGATGGCCTTCGTTACATACCCGGCGCCTAAGCCACTGGTATTATCTAATCTACAAGACCTTATTAGGCAAAACACCATCTTATCTAAAATCATTAATACCTGTGGCAGTACCTACACGCAACCTGCGCTCGAGTAGATACATTTTCCTCGTTGCTAGAAAAGCCCGTACTTCATTCGGCCGCTTTTCTTTCCAATTTTCTGCTGCAAACGATTGGAACAATTTACAAAAATCTCTCAAACTAGAATCCTTCATACCTATCATTACTTTTAAAGCAACACTTTCTAAACTACTAACGGACCACTGTACATGTTAATATTATTTCTTGTGCATATCCAAATGAACAGCTATTGTTGGTAATAATCTACACCGCACCATGTTATTTATGCTATCTCAGGATATCTATCCTTCAACTATACTGCTTGTGCTTTTATTTAGTACTAAGTTAATAGTAGTAAGTTGTTTTAAATTTTTATACTCTGTTCTGCATTTTAATTGAACCTGAAAATCTGTATGTGTGATTATACACTTGAATGTTGTACACAATGTGTAATTTTATGTTGCCTTGCACTTTTAGCCTGTCTTGGCCAGGTCGCGGTTGCAAATGAGAACTTGTTCTCAACCGATTAACCTGGTTAAATAAAGGTGAAATAAAAAATAAATAAAAAATTCTATTACACCTTTTAAGGGAACTTCATCCATATTGCGTAACACTCCTTTTTGTGTTGTGGTATGGTGTCCAAATGTGGTTGGTGTGGCAGAGCATAACTCAACAGCACAGTGCTGTCCTGAGGTCAACAACTCAAAAAATAAGCCGCTACTCTGTCTTGCGTGCCATCAGTTTAGGTTCAGAAACGATATACAGGAAAGTCTTTGCTGTCAATCATACTTTAGCAGCTGTTAGAAGAAAAAAGAGCAGTTATTTCATTCCTGAAGTGGGACCCAAATATCTGAGACCATTTTAAAAGTTTTTTTGGATTTTGACCTCAAAATAAATAATGTTTTTAAAAGTTAATTATTAATGAAAATAATCAGAACTTCTAAATATTCATGCCAGTCTAACAAGTAACTTTGTGATATTTAGCATGTAAACTGATTTGTACAGAAAGTGTTGCCTGCTCTTTTGAAAATGCTCAAATAGGAAATTATTTTTTAATTATATTTCATTCATATATATTTTGATTTTATTCTTAAGTAAAGCTAAAACTATTAAAATGCTTTCATTAATTGTAATAAAGCTTAAATAAAATAAAATGTAAATATTAAATTAAAAAAAACTTAGGCTAAATGAAAATTTGAATTGTTGCCTGGACATTTAACTGAAATACAGTAAGTTTAAGATGATATATTAAAAGTTCTATAATCATATATTAATAATAATAAAATAACACGGTTATATGTGTTGTAATAAAAACCCTTTTTTGCATTAGAAAAATTTAAAATAAAAATACTTCACTTTTGGGCCTTCACTTTAGTGATTTAGTTTAATATTCAGGGAAAATGAGATGTCACTTGTCATATTGATCTAAAGATGCCAGTCTTGGGCAATGTCAATATCCTGCATGGTGTATTGAATTATCTCTGAATTAACAGAACTATAAGCTCTGGGTATTAATTAACCTCATCTCGCTGCAAATCACAGTGGTTTCTTCCTCCTTATCACTGAGAAAGAATTTGTGAGCGGCATTTGACAAGACGGAGAGACAAAGGGTAATGGTGGCCATATCAATATAAGCAACCCCTTTATCAGTGTGTTGAAGGCTAAAAGTTGCTGAGATTTGACAATCAATTGGAGTTTAAACTCTGTTCTGTCTTTCAGTCCTGCAATGATCTTCCTCTGGTTTTTCTTCTCAGTCTCTTTATGTTTCAGTCTTTTTTTCTTTTCTTTACTGGTCGCATCATTCCCCAGCCCTATTCTCCATCCACACATTATAACTTGAAGTTTTGCGCCCTTGAGCATTTTGCTCTCTTCATTCACATATAATTTATCAAACTGATAAGACAGGAAGGTCTCCATCGAAATGGCTGTGCTACTTCATCCTCAGGCCTTGTGCTGAACGTGCCACTCACTCATGTGGATTTGACATGGTTCTCTGTCCACTGTCTCGCTGATTAAAAGGAGGAGATTGGGTCAGTCCAGATGAGATTAGTGCATTCAAACACACATTCACATAGTACATAAAGACAAGTGTGAATTGAGGGCAATGTCTGAATTCTTTTAGACAACATCATTAACTACTTTCAGAAAATTCCTAAAATCTTTTCTTTATGTTTTTGATGGAAGGTAAAATTTATAGGGACAAAAACAGCAGTCATGCATGGCATTCAGAATATTTGAAAGGTATAGTTCACTTTGAAATTAATTTTTTGTTTGTTTTAGCTTACCTCAAGGGCATCCAAGATGTAGGTGTTTCCACAGTAGTTTAAATTTTCAGATTTTTAGGTCAAACCCGTTCTTGTCTGTCAGGTATATAATGCAGGTCTATGGTCACCACCTCAAAGAACATGCAGAAGTACACATTGATGGCCTAAGACACAAAACGAGCGGTTTGTGTGAGAAAACGAACAGTTTTATATCGTTTTTACCTCTTGTAACCACAGCCACGTCCAAGTTATCTTGTGTGGACGCTTTGTGACTGTGGTTACAAGAGGTAAAAAAGATATGTTCGTTTTCTTAGACCATCACTGTGTAGGCCTACTTACATTTCCGAGTCATTAAATCATGTTTAATTTGGACTTCTCTGTGCATGCTCTTTGAGGTGGTGACCATAGACCATCATTATATGACTGAAAGGCAAGAACGGTTTGACCTAAACATATCAAAATTGAAACTACTGCGGAAACAAAGACACCTACATCTTGAATGCCCTTGAGGTAAGCTAAAACATATCAAAAATTAATTTCAAAGTGAACTATCCCTTGAATGCATTTCATTTGTCTTCAGGCTTTTTTGTCACCTCATTTGCAAATAGTTTAAAAACAAATATGTTTTACTTTAAACAGGTTTTTAGCTTAAAACAAGAAAACATGACATCATTTCAGTTAGAAACTACTGTTGTGAAAACAACTCTCCTCTGCCGCATTCATTGAGCTTCATTGCATGAATTAGAGATGTAGAGATATAGTCTGAGATATAGAGATAGTCTGTGTCAAACTTAAAGAATGAATGTTGAACAAATGAATTTCCGCTCATTATCAAAACAAATGTCATTGACTTGCGCTGTGAAAGCTGCTTCGATAGCTGCACCCTTACACAGCTGACCGGTGTTTGTACGATGCTATTTAACGGTTGAGTTTGACCCAATGCCCTGCTTCCTCTCACTGAGCAAATGAATGAGAAAAGAGACCATCATGAGGGCCGCGTGTGGCTCTGTGTACACGTGTGTGTGAAGCTGTGCGTGTGTGGCTGAATGAGAGCCATTAAGATATCAAGCAATAGCCCATTTATCTATGACAGCACAGCTGTGCCAACACAGTCCTAGTGTCTTCTTGTCCACTTTGATTCACACAATAATGAATGACGAGTTACATTGGCAAAAACGTCCCATTTACCTCAACTGCTCTCCTGCTCTTATTTTCTTCTGTCAGTATTATCTCTTGATTGCTTTTATGAGAGTGAAGAAAATTTAAAAGACAATTTGTTCTCCATAAATTTCTTTATGGATGCTTTAAACAGTCTCTAAGCTGAAAACATTACCTTCATTGGCAGTATAAGACGATAAGGCAACAAGAGACGACAAGAGTCTGGTCGATTTTGAATGCAGCACAGATTCGCTGCATGTTTAAGATGTTTGATCTTATGACTCGTTTTCTGTTGAGAAATAAGCACGGTAATCACTAAATATTTGCTTGGTTATGTATTAAGCTGACATGAATTTGCTCTGGATGATCATTCAACATGATATTGAGGCCAGTCTAAAACTGGTTTCCTTAGAAGGTTCATAAACAATTATCTGCCTTTGTCATTAATTGACAGGGTCGGGCAGAGTTATTGCCGTACAGTTGTACACAACCAACCCTTAGTTTGTGACAATGAATGCAGTCCTTTCATTGAAAAAAGGAAACGAAGATAACTGTGGTATATAGTGTTGGCTTGATTTATCATTCATAATATATATGCACTCTGGCAGGCACAAGGCCTTTATATGCAGTTATATGCAGTGTGTAAATTATAAAGTGATTTTTGGGTTGACTGTTTAAATGGAATCTTTTTATTAATTATCCATCCATTCTCAAAACTACTAATTATAGACCTATAGGTTATATTATATATTCTTAGATGTTTTATATTATAGTATTCATGTTATTAATTTATTAATACACACATACTTTGTGAGTTTTCATGTTTTGGGAACTTTCCACAGACATAAGGATTTTGATGAACTGTATATTATATCTAAAATCTATCTAAAACTTCTTCATTTTCAAAAAAAAAAAAAAAAAAAAAAAAACATTACTTAGTAAGCCTAGCTATTATTTTTAAGCTGTTTGGGGACCAAGGATAGGCTACTGGATATTACAATCCTTGTGGCGAAATTTTGTCCCCATAATTTAGGGTTCACCAGGACACACACAACTATAAATATATATATATATTTAAATGTATTTATTTTTTTGTTACTTTTTGTGTCAATAGCCTACTACGTGATGTTTTGCAGACATCTGCTCCCAATGTACTGCACTCATGAAGTTGCTATGGTTACATGTCCAGGCAAACGCGACTTGATCTGTTTTGTGGCAGGTGGTGAAAGTACGGGCTCTTCTTAACTTCTGTAATTACTAAAACGTGTATTTGTTGGTTCAGGAAGTTCATATTCCTTACCGTGCTATTCAACAGCTTGTCATGGGTTTATGAGGGAGGCGTGCAGGGTAGACCTAAAAAACAAGAATTGTGACGCGACGTGGGGGTGGGGGAAGGGAGGGGAGGGGAGAAGGCACAACGGTACTTATGGAGGCGGTTTGACACATGGAGTAAATACTACAGGCTGGTTAGAAGGCGCTTGGACCGCGGGTGGTTTGGACATCGCCGGAGACGCGAGCTTCCAAGCGCGCGGACATTCTATCTAAAGCCGTTTAGCAAGAGTTAATGTCAAAACGATGCAATTCTTAAGAACGAGGAAGCAACCGTCATTTTATAGGTAACATTACAGGAAATAAAAGGAGAAACCTGTGAATTGGTTTTCGGCCTCTCTGGCGTGTTTTTTTAAACGACAGATTAAACTCTGGATACGCTTCATCACGGACGCAACAAACGGGTACATTTTTGCAATTGGACTATTAGGCTGCTGTAGTTTTTTTTACGCCCGAACTCAATGCTTTGTGTTCATGTTTGTAATGACACTGACAGTGCCTTCTTTTTGATTGGATTTTATAGACCATTACTGCAGTAGCACATCTTGCTCCTTGTTACTTTGCCACTACGCAATAAACCCTGACACATGAGAGTAATCTCAGGTAGATAAGAAAGAATAGATAGAGTGATAATAGTAACATATTTTGCTCGAGATAGTATTCAGGCTGTTTATGTCTATACGCTACCTGAGATCTGACCACCAGCGGTACACGTCAAGCGCTACTCTATCATCACCGCTCAACATCGAGGACTGAACATTTCAATAACCAACATGACGGATGGACCGAGACAAAGAGGAAGCGCAGCCTCAAGCACCGGACAGGATGGAGCAGGAGACGCCGGCAAAGCAGCGGGAGAGTCATCGGTGGCGTTGAAAAAGGAGATCGGTCTCGTGAGTGCCTGTGGCATTATTGTCGGTGAGTATTTCAATGTATTGTCATGTGGGTGGATGTGTTTTAAACCGATGCATGGTCAGTCGTGCACGGTGCACAGCTTGATTGGATAATGCTAAATGAGAGTCTCTCTCTCATACTAATCAGTCACATGAAATGGGGAAAAAAGGTAATTTAAAACTGGGAAAACAAAAATAGTTGAAAATATAGGCCTACTATATATACACAAAAATATGATTACAGTGGCGTGTGGTGGTGTTCTGAAATGAGGGAACAAATTATTTTTTATGTTTATGTTTATTCCAAAATAACAACTAAAGGCACAATTCAAACTATATTTTTTTTATTTGTCACAGATAAAGAGGTCATTTCACCAAGCTGATTGCTCACTAAAATATCCCTATAGTCTTCATGTTTTCAGTCCATTTCTAGTTTGATTCTTACATGACATAAAGGGTGTATCTAAATGGCTGAGTTGTTTACTTACTTTTTAATTCCCATTAAACACCAAAATTTTGTTCATTCAAATCGATTTGCGAACGAGTATGAAAACAAGAGGCTGGATTGGATTTATCGCACAATCCAATCATATCCAACCACAGCATGGTGAAGGCAGTGCCTCCTCTCACCAAAATTCATTCTCAATTTGGCTGTATGCCCAGCTGCACTACTTCCTGAACTTCAGCCAGCTTCTTGTTTCCTGTCTGCCATTATTGGCCAAATTGATTAATTCAGGTGTGTCTGATTATTGTTGCCATGACTACTGAGGTCAAGCACACCTGAATGAATCAATTTGGCCAATAATGGCAGACAGGAAACAAGAGGTGCGTTCCATTCGACAGGGTCCTTACACAAGTGTTCACTGCTCCCTACTCCCTGAACACGGTATATTAGTTGAAGTGGACTTCACTGACTTCCTGTGAAGTGATGTATCGATGTTCCCTTATTCCCTATGCCGTTTGCAGTGCCCTTCGAACTGAACATGTTCGTTCCCTTCGAATTGGAGTCTCACTTAAGATGGCGAAACTTCGCAGTCCACTTACGGTCGAATGGAACGCACCTAAGGAGCTGGCTGAAGTTCAGGAAGTAGTGCAGCTGGGCAACCCACAGCATGGTTTGGGGCAGGGGTGTCAAACCCAGCCCCTACAGAGTTTAGTTCCAACCCTGCTTCAACAGAGACACACTTGCAGTTTTCAAATGAGACTCAAGGACTTGATTAGTTAGTTGTTTAATTAGGGTTGAAGCTAAACTCTGCAGGGTTGTGGCCCTCCAGTTTGAGACCCCTGTTTTAGGGGGTCTGTTAACTCAATGGGTTCAGCTGTAGAAAGAGAGAAGCGGACTCCTGCTGTAACTTTACCTGTGGGTGTCACTGTTGGACAGTGTTGCTTTAGAAAAACAAGTGATTTATGCATTTTTTTAATGTCACATTTTGTTATAATTCTTTTGTTCTATGTTTCTAATATTAATTATTTTCTCATCCAGTTTTTGAGGAGGCGCCGCGTCCCTTGCTTCCCTCGAAACGTCCCAATTATTTACGCTTATGCCTGTTGTTCTGTTGATTAGTGGTCCGATAAGGTTTTTTTTAATGGTCGATACGATGTTCATTTTAGAGATAAACCAATAATCGTTTTGGCCTGTAGGCCTATTTAAGATGATTAATGGTTTATGAACAATGTTATTGGTGTTAAGATATTCATGCACATTATGTTTTAATTGTTGTAGTCTAAAGTTTATTTAGTTATCATTATCATGATAATGATCTGTAAAATAATAACTATAGGCCATATTTAAACAATGTTGATGATGTCTTATAGCCTAGTTAAATGTTTCATACCATTTAAGTATAACGAACAAGATATGCACAATCACTTTATATAAAAGAACAATTATTTTACCTAAATGTTTTTACTACTAAATAGCTATTTTAAAATAGAAAATGTGCATTATCCATTAACAAGACTGTCAGCAGATTAGTAAACTATATCAGTCAATTATTATAATTTTTTTTTTTTTGGTCTAGCAAACAAAAATCTATCAGTCTAGCAAACTGCAGCCATGTGCTCGTGTTCTTTCAAAATAGTTTAAAATGGCTAAGCAAGAATAAAAAAAAATGCACATGTCTTCTTGACCCTTTTTTTCTTTCTATTATTTTCACTTCTGTAAATCAGGGCTAAAAGACTTTAGCCCTGCAAATATAAAAGGAAGTGAAGAGAGGAAATGTGACTTATCCTTGCTCAGTGTTCATGTATTGCTTCTGAGAGCATTAAAAAATTATATTTCATGTAATGATGAGAGTTATGGAAAAGTATAAACACTCAAGATAATCACAGCCTACATTAACTGCAGCTATATGATAATCCTCTTCAGCAACTTTGATCAGGTCAGGTCACACATTCACATGGTCTCTGTTGGCTCACGTGAACATTATTATCAGGTGATTGTCGCTTCGGATCGCTCAAAGCTTTCCTTAAGCCTTTGTACTTCATTAGATTTATCAGAATACTTTATAACTTCTGACACTCTCATCTTTATCAACCCCTTTTCTGGAACCCTTTGTGAGCTGGAAATGAAGCATGGACCTGAACGTGAACTTTCTGTGAATTTTTTTTTTTTTTTTTTTTTTGACTCGCTAAGACCCATTTTTGACGTTAAATATTTGGATTATGGTCTCTGGTCATCAGTAGGGATTGTTAGAATGGAAACGGGTGCTAGGAACCTAGTTTTAGTGGAGTAAAGGCTGGCAGATCATCTAAATGTGCACTTAGAAGGAGATTGTATTAGGTATAACCAGTTAGGGGCCCAAATTATTATTTAATTGCATTCCATTATTCTTTCTCAGACACTTTTTTGATCTGATACAGTCATATTAAACTTAAGTGATCGGTTAATGCTCCAGTACGATTATTAAAATCCAAGTGAAAATGCATGATGTACTTTATGTATTGATGTAGAACTGAAAACTGCAAGAGGTAATTAATATCTATAGACCTTTATTATCTGAAAGCTAAACCAGCGTTCGTATGGTATGGGTTTTTTGATGATCATACAAACGAAACATGCAATACTTAGCCTAATTCTAGAAACGTTTTGTAAATCTATCCACTTGATTATACAAAGAGTCAGGGTTGCATAACAGTTGAACCAATTTTATTTGATGAAAGGAGACATTGTTTTGTGTAAATGGCTTGCTTGATTAACACAAACTCTGATTTATTTATGTCAATTTGTAAAAGGGAAACATCTGGTTTTTAAGGCTACAGACCCACAGAAACCGTTTGATCAATGGAGCCATGAAAGAAAATCAATAGGACAGTTGAAAGAGATTCGCCTCAGCAAACATGTTAGCTAGAGTAATAAAATAGAAGTACAAGTGGATGTTATATCACTGTGCAATAAATAGACAATGACTGACATGCATATGATAAGCTGATAGCAACGAGTGAACTGACTTCGAGGTAAGTCGGTTCACTGCGGCCACTTTAGCACTCTGTGCAGCTGTATTCGATGCTGGCAATTGGTGCCATCCATCTACTTAAATGGGGATAGACCTAAATTCTTAATAAAAGTGCGGTCACATTAACAAAATGGAATGGGCAAAAAAAAAGTCCATTGTCAATAGTGTAGCAATAAAGCACAGCTCACAAATAAGTCACTTTTAAAGCAGCTTTCTGTTTGCAGCGAATGAATGAGCTCGTGTGACCAACGTAAAACCATTTGCAAATCTTTGTGGTGAAATTATATTTCGGCCCCATGTGAAATTGTGCAGATTGCATGTTCATATTGAAACCACTGTATTTTGGTAAAAAATAGCCAAACAACAGTAAATGTGATCACATCTTAATGTGTCAATTCTGACAACAATACTATCAAAATTTTTACTTTTTATTTTAAATCACTCTACAAATGTTTTTTTTTTTTTTTTTTATGGCTGGTACAGCTAAAGTGCAGTACAGTAAAAAAAAACAGACAATGCCTTATCTAAAAGCTAACTGGCACTTTGAATATAAAGGTGGGACTTTTCTGTTGCCTTTTCTTCTGTGTGTTTGAGAGATTAGCATAGATTAGATCAATGTGTGTACTAGATTGACAAACTACGGTAGAAATGTTAAATCAGGCATTGCTGCTGTGTTGCCTGTGATGTTTGTGCTGTGAACACACAAAAGGGAAGCAAGAGGATGCAGTATGAAAAGGAAATCCATCTGGATTTTTTCCTCTGTAGTCAGCAAGACCTCGTATGGCGTAAAACCTGTTGATGTTCATAATTCCTGGCTGGTTTCCTTATAGTCAATTAAGCTGGCTGAAACCAGATCAATCCCTACATGCTTTAGCAATAGTAAAAGGTACCTTTGATTGTATAAAGTTGTGCAACTTGTACTTTGAGGTCATGAGACATGCTGAAGTTTGTGATAATCATATCTCGACAGGGCTTTTTTAAAGCAGAGATTTAGGGAGATAAGTGAAGTGGGAGAACAACCAGAGATATAAGATGAATGCTCAGCTGTCATGAAGGTTTATGGATATTATTTTTTTTTGTGTGTGTGAATAGCCTACATGGCAGCCGTGGCTACTGAGAAGTCTGATTACTTGTTTACAGTGCCAATGTGGAACAGACATTTGTATTAGAGCCCGACCGATAAAGGATTTTGAAGGCCGATACGATAGAAATATTTTTGGGTTTTAAAATCCGATATATCAGCCGATATTTTATTTATTTATTTATTTTTTTTAAACTGGAGATGATTAGTCACAAATTTTGTCATGCTTATTTGAGTTAAGAGAACTGATGGGGATGTTCTTTTAATTGTTATTCAAGCAATGTATGTATCGTGACCAACTCAATGAGTGTTGCCAACAGGAACGGTTTAGAGTGCCCTCTGGTGGACAAAATATACAACTCCAACACTCATGACATGGTTCAAGCGTGTTTCGTCTGTTTTTATTTTATTTTTGAGATATTCATTTATCGGCCATTATAACTGCCGATACCGATAGTTTGGAAAATGTCTAATATCGGCCGATAATATCGGTCTGCCGATATATCCGTCTGGCTCTAATTTGTATCCAAAGTGATTCACAGAACATAATTGCAGTGACAGTTAGACAGGAAAACATGGACTAGTTGACTTACTGATGGGAACAGATGTAATTGGCTCCATAATTGACTCCGGCTCATGCATTGTTAACCTGAATTTTCACATGCATCAGTTTATGTCAAAAGTTCAGACGTGAAGCACAATCGGGGAGGATAAAATAATAAACCACAGTTACATGTGCAGAACCGGTCATCACTCCACAATCTGCCTCCCACTTGAACAGTAAGATCAGCATTTTCTGCTTCAGAAAGCAGAAAAATGGACCTTTGTCCATTTTGCCTAAATCACATTAGTGTCTTCCTCCATGAAGGAGCCATACAGCTTGCTTTGATTTGACATCCCTATGGATTATTGCGATCTTCACAGGGCTTTGGTGGAAAAACACTTTTTGTAGTAAAGTGGTGTGTGTGTGTGCTTACCAACGGAATAGTTTAGTAGATCTAAATGAGATATTCTTTGAGATCTACGGTTGTTTTGTTGCAAAAATGGTGGTTTACAAGTTATGGATGTGTTCGTTGATATTTTGAATTAATGGAGACATGACCTAATGCGTGCGCTAAAATCGACCATTGAAAATCGTTACAAATAATTGCAACAATGGCTTAGATAAGTAAAATTAGATTTGAGAAAAATTCACACCTGGTTTGATATTTTCGTATTTTACATGTGTAACATAAATGTCCAAGTACTTTTTTGGAGCCAATATGTGAATTACAAACACGCATATCACACAGTGGTGGTGCACTATACTGCACTAAGTGCACACATTGCAAATACACACTCCCCAATATATTTGCTTTGTGTACTCACTCCATTAGTCACGCTGAATACTAACTCTGCAAATATGCTTTCTCTCTCTCTTGGTTCTCCCTTCTTCTTTCTCTGCCACACTGACATTTTAATTTACGTTTGATTCATACACTGTCATGCTTTTTTTTTTTTCTATACCGCCCCTTTTCTCTTTGCCACTGTCATACGTTTCGATAAATATTATTGGATATTTATCAGTCAAAATTGGAAGTCTATCCACTTTATTTGTGCTTGTTGCAACAATGCTAGTTTGTAGCACAAATAGTTTTACTATTTACTGCACTTTCTTATTCTTATAGTTCTTTACCTTTTAGCGGGTAATTAATCAGAAGTCTCACACATTCACAGAAAGTAGAGTATAGCTTACTTCCGCATTGGAAACAAGGTAGATAGATTTCTATCTATTTTAAAGAATTTGGATAGATCAAGACATTCTCTTGAATCTTTAATAAGATCTCTTTAACAAGTTGGAGTGAATTTCTGTGTGCACATAATGATAGTTTTTAGTATGTATTAATTCTTTTTTTTTCTAACAAAGTAGTTAACGCCTAAAGAGATATCGGCTACACTTTCAAAATATGTAATGTAAGTCCATAATGCATTTCTGACCAATCTAAAATCTCTTTAAATCCTTTACTCAGGATAAAGTCGGGTTCATTCATTTCATTTTAAATTGGAGCACTTTAGTAGATTAATTCAGACATTGATTTAAGGCTTAGGCTATATGACGCATTGGTGTGACAGCTCCACCTTCTTTCTGACCTGCTTTCTACATTAATGCACAATTCTAAACTAATACCCAACCCATCTGTTTTCTCTTTTACAGGTAATATCATCGGCTCTGGAATCTTTGTTAGTCCAAAGGGAGTGTTGGAAAATGCCAGTTCAGTGGGCCTGGCTCTCATCGTATGGATCATCACAGGCGTTATAACAGCGATTGGAGCACTCTGCTATGCTGAGCTGGGCGTCACAATCCCCAAATCTGGAGGCGACTACTCTTATGTCAAGGACATCTTCGGAGGACTGGCAGGGTGAGGCTTTCAGCCACACATTAGTTTTAATAATACTTCCAGAGAATAGACTGCTTATCAATCAAAGTCCATATCATTTTTAAAAGTAGGTGACTTAATTATTGGAAATGCAGAACTTAGCGTGATAGGATGTTTTAACATAAATGTAAGTCAGCGATTCAACAAACCTGAAGTAAAATAATGGAAAATAATAAACATTTCTCGCTCCACAGGAATCAGTGGAATTTTTTTTTTGTCAAAACACTCATGTCAATACCGTGCAACAATTTACTGGGACTGTAAACGATATTACCTTTCATTTTGTGGTAATTAGCTTGTTAAAGGTGCTAGCATTGTTGCTATCTGGTGAAGTTGTTCTAGCTATGATTTAACATTTCTTAATCCACTAATATGTACTCAGCGGTCAATCAAATCTTTTAGCATTGGCTTTATTTACATGCCAACAAACTTTGCTTTGCACAGTGACTGCTGTAATGAATAATACTGCCAGAGGACAACCATTAGCTGGTCATTCCCTCATGCCATTCATCTCACTCCAAACAAATGATGGCAATAAATGATCTTGTATACACAAATTGAGTCCATCCTTAGAAAAAAGACTGTTCTGCAAATAATACAATGTGGATCACTAGCTAAAAAAGAACTATGGTATTAACACGATACTTAGTGTTTTTGGAGAAAGTTATCAAAATACCACTGTATTACCATCTTTTGAGTACTTTTTGGTTGGAAGCATTATAACTTTTTTGAATGTTTATATGCTACAGGTTTCTGCGGTTGTGGATTGCTGTGTTGGTGATCTATCCCACTAACCAGGCAGTTATCGCCCTTACCTTCTCCAACTACGTCCTGCAGCCTCTGTTCCCCACCTGCTTCCCCCCAGAGAATGGTCTGCGTCTGCTCGCTGCCATCTGCTTGTGTGAGTACCAGAAGGAAAAACAGATATATCATTGGCTTATTATCATTTAGGGATTGTTGCGACTGACATGAAAAGCTACACACTCCATCAAGGGTTAGAACCAAGAAGAACTGTTGCCAAACATATAACATGCTAGAAATATAATAATCACTGCAATAATGATCTTAAGCATTTGCCTATTTAAATCCAAACAGTGACTATTTTTGACCAGGAAGTGTGTGTATAATAAATACACACACACACACACACACATATATATATATATATATATATATAGGGACTGCGAGAAAATGGTAAAAAAAGAGAAAAGGTTAAGATAGCAAAAGCTATTAAATTGTTAAGAGCTGTTAAATTGTACATGCTAAACCATTATCATATGTAAGATGGGTTATGAACAGACACAAAAATATTTTAAGGTTATCTGAATGTTTTGAAGAAACCTGTATATTTTACATACATTGTAGACTGTTTTATGTTTTTTACTTCACAAATGCTATAACAACTTTCACAATCACTACTTCCACATCTGCTTGTGATTCACTTCTGAACACTTCTGTATATTTTAGACATTTTTCTCTGCACATGGACAAATTGTAGCTGGGAATGGATACTTCATTACAGCCTCTTATGTTTGACCATAAGGGCAAATCACGCTCAAGTGAAAGAACCTTGAAGGCCAAATCTAGAGAGACAGTGTTTTGGGACTGATGTGTGACTGAAGAAGACTGAGGGGTCATACCCTGGGAGAGGGAACAGAAAGGTTGTGGGAAAATATGGGGAGGATAGAAAAGGATGAAAGTAAAAGAGAGAGGGATATGTGAAGATGGATGGAATGATGTTTTTCATGGCATCAAGAAGCCTTGAGCGTGGGCTTTCTGCAAACTTCACGCTGGAGCTACAAATACTGCAAGTTGTATGTAGACAGGCAAACAACAGAGACCCTAAGAAAAAAGAAAGAGGTCAAGAAGAGAGGATATTAGGTGATATCTCACCTTATTTTGATATCGCAACTGTAAAGTTTCAATTTAAATCCAACCTGATAAGTTATTTAGTTTAATTACTATTAGATATATTAATAATATTTCAGCATTATTTTCTTTTTATGGAGAAAATCTGAGCCATAATTAGCTACTTAACTGCAACAAATACTAGCTCTTTGTCCATTTCGCAGGGTAAAGGTGATGATACACAGGGCAACTTTTTGAGCAATGTTGCCGTCAACGGGCAACCAGATGCGACACAGGGCCCACGACTGACCTAAATTATCCAGAATTTACTGCCCATTTTCAATGGGAAAGTTACCCAAGCAACAATCGCTCGGCAATATTGCTCAAAAAGTAGCGCTATGTATCATCACCTTAACAGAGCTGAGCCAGCATTCATGGTGTGCTTTTAATACTTAAACTCTATATACTTAATACTTAAAGTTCTGAAACTCTAAAAAGTGACTATCAAGACCAAAATGTTCTGATTAGCTGAAGTTGAAGGTTGTTTTTTTAACTTAAAGGAGCATTTCGGAAGTTCTGAAATTTCTTACCGTTACTGACACCAGTGGCCGTAGGAGAAACTGCTGCCAGTCTCATGCTCAATCTTGGTGCGCGCACTCGCACGCTCGTTGGCCGCACTAGATAAGGCTTTTTTCTTTTTTTAAACTTACGAGGAGTTTACATGAGTGTCTGGATTGACTGGAGGCTGGTCGCTTCTTTCCGTTCGCAGAGTCCATTTAAAAACACTACTGCTAGCGATTGCCTGCTTACTAATGGCTGCAGTACGGATGTAAGCCCAAGTAGACGAGAACACGCATGACGTCACATTTTGTGAATTTTCACGCCAATTCGGACCCGACTCCTCCACACACTATTGAGCCTACAGGCTGATAGAGGCAACTGTGGTGGACAGTCAAGGTGCCAATCTTTCTATTACATTATGGTTTGCTCATAAATGTACAAATGAAGACTCTATCTTCAAGATTTTTTTAAGTAAAAACCTAAACTCAGTCTCGTTAACAGATGTTCTCAAGCAGCACTAAATCTTTTTTTTTTTTGCTTCTTTAGCTTTGCTTTTGTTTTGTTTAGAAAACCACAGGAAGTAATTGAAAGGGCAAAAGTGGACACTATGGCACAGTTTTACTTTACACAATGTCCCAGTTCTTGTACTCAACCCTTTTGTATCCTTTATGTCTTTTCTTCTAAAACCACTACTGCAATTCTGAGAAACGTTTTTTTTTTCTAAGTGTGTGCATGGCTCTGGGTCCGAACCTAATTTGTTGCCTTAGTAGGTAGCATTTTAATGGAACACAGTGACACGAACAGTTGTCAGAATAACTGCTGCCATTTAAGATGCCTTCTCATGGCCAAATATTAGCAGCATTGCATGTACATTTTTCAGAGAAGACAATCTCATAAGGTATTAGTTATGTCCCAAATTGTGTACTTACTCTGTGCACTATGTACTCTACTCTCTACTGTTATTTGCTCATCCTTAGTCTGATAGCTCCTTCTGCTACATTAGGAAAGCTATGACAGATTGTATGAAGTGACCAAGATTTCAAACTTAGTTTTTTAATTGATCATCAGGGTATTTTAAACGCACTTTTTTCTTTTTAAAAATTTCTGTGTAAACATACTAATACCATTTATTCAATAAAATTGCATAGAAAGTATGATTGATAGAAAATGATTATTCATATAATTTTTACAATTTTTGTAACTTACTTAAAAGGTTCAATCTTCTTAAAAATGTACTATTTTACCAAAAATGTTATGTGCTTGAGCGCATTTGAGTATCACATGGTTAGCTTAGCAAAATGCAAACTCCATTGAAATAAATGTTGTTGTTTTTTTGTGGTCTATGGGCTCTATGCACGGCGGTATTTCCGGTGAAGCATTAGGGATGCTCGATAACTTCCGCCGATCGTAGAGTCCGATGCAATACCGAGAATTTATATTGAATTTTATACTCCATGGTTATACTAAAGAAACATTAGTCACAAAAACAGATAAAACAGACACCCCTCGTTGTGTTTATGCTTCTTTTTAAAATTATATTAAATAAATATAACTATATATAAAATTACATCTAAACGTATGTACGTTTCATTTCAAAGACTGGAGGACAGTAAATATTGAAGACTCTGCCATAATCCCGTTTTCCTCGGTTTTCCTCCGCTTTAATCTCCACAACCGGAAATGGACGAGCATCATTGCATCAAATGCGGAATTTATGCGTGCATATAGCCCATTTGTGCCTCGAATCAATTATTTATTCCATTTTAATTAATCACGCTGCCTATGCAAGCAGTAAAGTGCAAAACAGAATCCGTTTTAGAACAGATCCCATGAGTATTGTTTTTAACAGGCTGTTGAATGTTAGAAAAAAAAAATAGTTTAGCACATGATTATGCATGCATAAAGTCTTAAGATATCAAGGGGATAAAATGGAAGGTTAAATGAGTAACTCTGACCTCGGTGTGCGTGACCGACACTGTAATCAGCTTATGGTGGTAAGATTCCTGTTGTCATAGGAATGTTTTCTACATTAGCATGATGTACTATGTAGATTTCACTACCTGTTTATTTTTCCATTCCAAAGTGGTTTCACAAACACCACCCTCTAAGGCGTCCTCTCCAGTCGACTTCCCAGACTGCTCTGCCCTTATCTCAAGACACGACTGCGCTTAGTTAGAAGCATGTCTTTGCTCTGTACAGTGAGGCAGTGCCCTTTTTCTTACACGGAGATAAGACATGAGCCTCCATATATCTCCTCGCCCAAAGCCATGTTGTGTTTGGTTTTTTACTGCATTCTCTTCACATTATTTGACAGGTTGTCAGTGTGCACCGTCAGACTATTTGTGTTGATTTCGCCACAAACAGTAATTGCCATGGACTTTGTGTAACAAAACACCTTACCACGCCTAATATCAGTTGACTTGCATTGTATTCTTGTGACTAGATGCTGCTCCACCTCTAAGTAGTTTAATTCTAAATAAGTGCCAAAAACATTCTGTGAATTTGGCACATTGACCTTCTCAAATCACACCCAGTTCACACTAGATTTGAATGCAATTCCTCTTTTGTTTAACCGTCTGTTGAGGTGAGTGCTTTGATTTGCTGCTTGTCTACAAGTACACACAAGTAGTATTTGAATTAAAGGGGATAAAGCTGAACCCCGAAGTGCACATCACGAGGCGGCATTTTTGCATGTCTTGCAAGTTCTCAAAATGCATGAGTCAAGACTCAAAGTTTACTTGCATGCCCCTCCGATTTTATGACCAAATATGTCTGTCACATGCCATCAGACAACTGTCTGCATGTGACTATGAGGGCTATTTAGCACATTGACTTTTTCAACATGTGTTTTCTAAGTCAAAATGTATTATGAATGTGAAAAAAATATGTTTCATGTGCTCTATCTGGTTACAATGTTCATTTAAAAAAAAAAAAATGTTGTAATGTTCATTTAAATAATTCTCCAGTCTGTCAAATGATTTCTTAAAAGTACAAATATTCCATGTAATCTTTAAAATCATATGAGGTAAACAATATATATATCACACAGGCTGTCAATGCTTGAAATTTTCCTGTAACATCTTGCTGACAATGCCACATTAGATCCATAAAAGAGAATAAACATACTAATTTGCTTTGAATAATCTGCCATATCAATATAAATGCAAAATATCATATCCTATTATTATAATTCGTCTGTACTGACTTTTTTAACCTAATTTCACCTGCCTATCTGTTTCCGATGTTTCAGCACATTCAAATGTTGGTATACCTGAAGGCCTATTTCCAGCTCGTCATTTGTGTGTCTGATTAATTCCTCATAGCTGAAAGCATTATTTTATAATTCTTTGGCATACTAGACTGTTCAAACAGCAGGGAGCCATTAATCTCACTAAAGGCTCATAGTGTGTATGTTGTGTGTGTGACCAGCCTTGTAACCTCAATGTCTGTGTGTTTCAGTGCTGCTGACATGGGTGAATTGTGCCAGCGTGCGCTGGGCAACACGGGTACAGGATGTCTTCACTGCAGGGAAACTTCTGGCCCTCATTCTCATTATCATCATGGGTTTTGTACAAATCTGCAAGGGTAAGTACCATATGTCTATGTGTGTGCATACTATACAGCATATTATTGGTTGTTCAAGAAGGTCTGTGCTAAATAAAGCTGTGTGTGTGTGGAGCTACGTGCAGTGCTTGTTCTTGTCCATGCAGCTCCGTAAAATCTTCAGAAAAACTGAAAGCACAGCACTTTCCCTCTTTTCCTTGTTGTCTCAGCAGAAGTCACTGGGTTCAAATCCTCTAATAAAGAATAACACAGATAATGCAGTTTTAACAACTGCTGTGTCAGAGAGGATTAAATAATGATCACACTCCCGACGGCCTGTTAGCTCAGACACTGACCTGATAATATGAGAGTGACAGATGTGATTCCATCATGCAGAAGATTTTAAAAAGACTGGATTTAGGCTTGTTGGCAATGGCTGCTCTTTATTGTTGGGTCTTCAGGGTCATGTATGCTCTCAAAGAGAGTTTAGAGAGAACATGTGACCCAAAGACCTGACCCTAGAATTGTGTTATTAATACTATGGCTTAGGGAGCAAAAAGATTGTAGGTTCAGGAAATCCAGTCAAAACCAGTTTATGGTGGTAGTTGTATTTTGGAACATGGTTGTTGGTCTCTTAACTGGTTCAGGCTGCCTTTGGTGGGAAGGCAGCCTGAACCGATATGTATCCTTGTTTTCGCATGGGTCCGGTTGCAGTCACTTTTTTTCTGTAGCCACTCTGATGTCCGAACAAAGTCTTTTGCATTTTACAGCGGTTGAAGTTGTTGTCACTGGTGATTGTCGTTTGAACCTTTCTGGATCCACCATCAAATTGATAAGTTTGATTATATCAAGTGCAATGAGAAAAGGCTATAAATCTCCACCTCCAACATCCTCACACGCAATATAGCCTACTAGCCGGCACACCTTCTTTATGTGTACAGATGTGACGTAATGACGCAAAGACATGCTCGAATCTCCCGTGGAAATACACCAGTATCACTGAAATTAAAAACATTATTACAAGCTCACCGCTTTAAATCGAGCTAAGGCAAGCAGAGTTTTGAACACTGGCTGGTTATGTATTTTCTCAAATATATATTTTGGATAATTTTTAACCTAAAAAACCTACGGACTGCAGCTTTAAGATCACAATTTTGGTCCTTGACCAGGGAACTTGACCATCCATTGCTTAAGAGGAGCTGTGATTACTTTAAGCTGTTCTATGTGAAAGCGTTTGCTAAAGGTTAACTAACTAGCTAATAAACAAGAGACATTTTAAAATCATTTTCCCTTTGATGTTTGATAACTATTGTACACTTTTTTTTTTTTTTTTTCTCTCTCTCCAGGCGAATATTACTGGTTGGAGCCGGCCAATGCTTTCGAGCCGTTTCAAGACTATGATGTTGGTCTGATTGCACTGGCATTTCTACAGGGGTCGTTCGCCTACGGTGGCTGGAATTTCCTCAATTATGTCACAGAGGAACTCGTCGACCCCTATGTGTAAGCCAATTTTCATCTTAAGAGCTCACAGTAATTCAATACGGTGTTCTCAGTATTTAATTAGTATCAATTGTTATTAGTGTAAATTAAATATACAGTTGTAATATCCAGCAAACAACCACATAAAGGCTCAATATAGTCAGAATGGTCAGCAGTATATCAGTATAAAGAGCCAAAAGAATCACTGTATAATTTTACACAATGCCCTGAGGAGGCAACTGGAATCTGCCTCAAACTGACTGAAAAGTAGTAGGTGGTTGGTTGGCTAAAATAATTCAATGTATTACTTCTGTTCTGACTGAACACTTCTTTCCCTCTTTTTTGTTTTTATATTTTTCCATACAGAAACCTCCCCCGTGCTATCTTCATCTCCATTCCCCTCGTGACTTTTGTCTATGTTTTTGCTAACATTGCCTACGTCACTGCCATGAGCCCTCAGGAGCTGCTGGCTTCCAATGCTGTAGCTGTGGTGAGTGTTCATTCATCGCAGTCGGACTGATTGTTTTGCTTTATGCAGGAGATTCTTTGGCATATCTAACCAAGTATCGATATTTAAAGTTCTTTAAATGATACTTGGATTGAGCTCTTGATGCCTGCCTGTGTACCATTCAAATAGATATATCAGACTCCAGAATCTTCTGCATTCAGTTCTAAAGACTTTCTTAATGAAACAGCACAGATATTATGGACATGAAAATGCATGTTTTCTATCAACGTCCTCTTTTTCTCTGCTTGCCTCTCCTTTCTCTCCTTCACCACTCTGTTGCTTTCTCACAGACGTTTGGTGAGAAGCTGTTAGGAGTGATGTCATGGATCATGCCCATCTCTGTGGCCTTGTCCACATTTGGGGGGGTCAACGGCTCCCTCTTCACCTCCTCTCGGTCAGTCCCTCCCTTCATCCATGCATCCATCCATCCATCCATCCATCCATCATTTATACACAAGAATCTATCTATCTATCTATCTATCTATCTATCTATCTATCTATCTATCTATCTATCTATCTATCTATCTATCTCTATCCATCTATCCATCTATCCATCTATCCATCTATCTATCTAAATTCTATGATCTATCTATCTATCTATCTATCTATCTATCTAAATTCTATGATCTATCTATCTAAATTCTATGTTCTATCTATCTATCTGTCTATCTATCGTTCGTTCGTTCGTTCGTTTGTTGTATCGTTCTGTCGGTGTGTGTCTTCACATATTCCCCTCTACTGAATATATTGGCATTGTAAATAACAGTAGCCCTGGACTGTCCTCATGTTGTTTAGGTTGTTCTTCGCGGGTGCACGTGAAGGCCATCTCCCTAGTCTGCTGGCTATGATTCATGTGAAGCGCTGCACCCCAATTCCAGCTCTGCTCTTTACTGTGAGTATCATAAACAGTATAATATACCTCTCTCTCTCCCTTTAAGTGTGTCTTTATAACTCACGCTCACATTTGTTGCACATCCTTTAAATCTGCTGGACGGTTGCTGAATTTAGGAATGACTTGTTCTTTTGTTGATTTTATGGCCTGCATTCTTCCGTAGTCCCAGTATGAATGGTCTTTATGATAATGTGATGATATCGGACAGTTCTTATACATATGCCAAACATCTCTCTCTTGCTTTCCCACAGTGCATCTCAACGATTCTGATGCTGTGCACCAGTGACATGTACACACTCATAAACTATGTGGGTTTCATCAACTACCTCTTCTATGGTGTCACTGTTGCCGGGCAGATTGTGCTTCGGATTAAACAACCAGATATGTACCGGCCAATTAAAGTAAGTCCGAAGAATTTATGAAACCCAGTGTTAAATTTTATGTTATGTTGAACAGAAGTATTTTATGCTAATTTTGAATTTAATTGTTAAAAAAACCTTACCAGTATGAAAATCGGTGATCTCAGTAGTTGTTGATTTTTTTTTTTTTTTTTTTTTTTTTTTTTTACTGGTAACTTGCCATCTGTTATATATCAAGTATTCTGTTCAGCTAATTTGCTATAAGCTTTGAATCATGATGTGCTTGTCCAGTTCTAGTTACTCCCTACATACCTCCTTAAAACTTAAGACACATTGTTACTATTTGCTGCTAACGTAACTTCTCCAACTGCCAGATCAGTCTGGTGTGGCCTGTCATCTACCTGCTGTTCTGGGCCTTCCTGCTGATCTTCTCTCTGTACTCGGAGCCTGTGGTGTGTGGCATTGGCTTGGCCATCATGCTTACTGGTGTCCCTGTCTATTTCTTGGGCGTCTACTGGGAAAACAAGCCCCAGTGTTTCAATACATTTGTTGGTAAGTGGAATAACGTTCACAGATATGTGGGGCTTAACGATGACATCACTTCTCTGTGTTAGGTCTGATTAGAGACAATGTATCTCACACATTAGGGCTGGGAACTGAGAACCGATTATATTATATTAACACTACTAATCAAAAGTTTGGTAAAGAAATTAATACTTTTATTCAGCAAGGATGTATTAAATTTATTAGAAGTAAAATGTTTCTGTATGGGATACAGTATATCAATTTTAACTGTACAAATCAACACATTAGTCAATGTGGGATATTGATTGCAAGAGACTGGACAGGATTAAGAGTTACGCTACTACTGTAGAATTTCACTGCGATTTAAAAAAAAAAGACTCTATATGCATTAACTGTATATATGTATGCATGTGTGTGTGATATGGTTTATATATATATATATGAAGAGTTCAGATGCAAAAGCCTCTAAATGCCATTTGAAATTTTCTTCTTTAATGATAATTTTTTAGCAAACTTGTATATTTAAGTTCAGTAATTTCACTTAAATAACAATTAATAGGTAATTATCATTGCCATTTAAGTGAAATTACTGAACTTAACTATACAAGTTTCATAAAAATCATCATTAAAGAAGAAAATTTCAAATGGCATTTAGAGGCTTTTGCATCTGAACTCTTCATATATATATATATATATATATATGTATAAAGTGTAAGTATCAAATAGTTTTGAGAATTTCACAATTGTGATGTGAGAAATTGTTCCCTGCTCACCAACATTAGAATGATTTCTGAAGGATTTTAGAAATGACTTTGGCTTGGAGAGCATACGATTCTTCTTTCAGAAAGACACCTTAAATGAAATGATTCTCTTTATGTTCTCAGACAAAATGACATACCTGGGTCAGAAGTTTTGTGTAGTGGTCTACCCAATGGAGCAAAAGAAAGAGGAAGCGTCTGGAGATGAGATAGAAATGAAGGAACAGACGGTTCCACTGTCAGCAGAAGATGAGGAGACACCAAAATCAGCTGACTGCTAAACAGACACATGGAGACACACTCATTCTCTCACATAAGTGAGACTTATTCGGATATAGACACTGGAAATCAAACTCAGATTTTTTTCACATGCCACTATATTTTGCCTTTTCATAAAGAGGGGGTTGCACTGGAGTGTAAGTGGCTAAGCTCAGGAGAGAGAAATGAACAAAGACTAGCTGCTCCACAGGTCATGTGGTTCTGCTGTAGTGGTCTTAGAAAATGTTCTACAGTCTCTCAGCAGCCGCTTTCTACTCCACCGACTGTGCAAAAGAATTACAACACTAAAATGAGAGATTACATAAAGCTCTAAAGGGTCAAGGGCATTTTTAAAGAACTTTCTGAAACATTTTCTATGAGAAATCAGGAAATTTGAATTCCATTCTGTAAATTACAGTTTATAATAAAAATGCCAATCTACATCATGGCTTACTCTGATATGGCTGGGTTCATTTTATTTATTTATTTATTACCGAGTACATTCTAATGTTCTAATTCTTACCCCCTCTTTATTTTTATTTTTTCAGTTCAGGTCTCTGTCGTAACACACACTAAAATAGTTTTTTATAAGCCAAAGCTGTATTTTAATTCGCCATATTATCATTTCACGTGTATTTCATCAAACCGAAATACTCAGAAGCATTTCTTTTTTTATATATATATCGATATTTTTTATTGTCTTATTCTAATCATATTCCTTTGTATTATACAATTATGATTATTCTTTTCTCTTTCCTAAAGGAAAGCCCTGGGACCTTTTTTTAATCATCATATTTTTAAGGCATAAATTTAAGAACCAATTGTGGTGGTTCAGAGTAGTTTTCTTTCTGATTACTCTGGCCCTGATGCAATTCAAGCTCTTTTATTTGCCTTAACTTTTATGTTAACTGTATAAAGTTATTATCGCTGTTAAAGAGTATTTTGCTTTCTGATATTTTTAAAGATAAAAACTGTTTAATGAAAACTTGACAAGATGGCATTGTAAAGTTAAGTGTTGCAACAGTATATTCATTCTGTGTGGACTTTAGATAATACGGCATGATGCCATTGGATTTACTGCCACAGTCATAAATTCACTTTCCCACAGTTGAATTATTAAGAAAGTTTACACACGGATGCAGATTCAAAATGGCGGAGTGGTTTGGTTATATGAAAGAAAGAAAAAAATTAGTGGCGCATAACTAGTGTTTGTGATGTAGCTGAAAGCCTTTGAGAATGTACTAGTTCTATAGTTTTGGTCCTGTCATTTATTATGTGAATATATAAAAAAAAAACTTGAAATCAATTATGTGAGAAGAGCTTGTTAAATCAGTCATGTAATGCACAATATATATGTAATTGTGTAGATGTTAATGTAGGTGCAATACAAGGGACTAGATTCAATCGATCAAGCTAACAAACCTATGATTTATTCATAGTCTGAATAATTACATTAATAATATACTAAATAATTAAACTACACACCAAAATGAAACAAGCTTTAAAGATAATTAATTTCCGTTAAAAAAAAAAAACATTAACATGTGTAGTAAAGCTCATTTCAAGAATACATTGATTAAAGTGTTCAGTACTGAATGTATGTATGCCACTTGTCCATACAAACATACAAGGCTTTTTAGTGGTCACAGGGTTTGTTCATTGTGCCTCTGTGTTGATGTCACACCTATACCAACTTGTAAAGCTTATGGAAAGTGCCAATTGTTCTTTGTTGTATTTTTTTTGTGCAGATCTGTAATGTATAGGTGCTGTATAAAAAGCAATAGAATATATAGATCACAGTGTAAGTCATAGCACATCCATTTTGCATGAGCTTAACCCCCTACATTCCTTAGAGACTAGTATCAAATCTATAACCTTCGCACTTACACAATAAACACTGCCTTAGGTTCCACTGTAGTCACGCGGTGGCGATACCTGTCATTATCAATGAATCAAAGACTGCGTAAACTTGGATGTATGTATCGAGCGTCTTTGGTTCTAGCAATGCTGCTCCTGAGCTGTGTCTCAGTATTCAGCACTGTATGCTGTGTGATAACCACAAACGCAATGTATATTTTATATGGAACATGCGACTTTGATTGTGCTGAAACATAAAGCTTTCCTATCCACACACGCATATGCGATTACCAAAAGCCATGCAAAATGATTTCTGTTCATTTTTTTTCTTCACTTAGGTATTTGATTGTCACCATCAGTAACACGATTGATGTCAACATTTTTAATCTCCTTGTCACAACAATATAAATCAACAAGAGAATGATTTTTATAGATTATATTAAGATATGTACAGTCTAAAACGATTTAAAAAAAAACCATCACGCTCAGATTGCCGCTTACACATAACGGTTTGAACCAGAGTCTTCTTGTTTACTGTAGGTTTTGTATTTGTTTGAACAGTATGTATTGAAATATGAATAAATCTATATGCTGAACCAAAGAAGACTTGTGCTTTTCTAGGCTTTAAAAAAACGTGCAGCACTGCCATCTACTGTAGGAAGATTATACTCATCTTGTTCAATAGTTTCAAAGGATTTTCAACTCATTTGCAGATGACGTATTGATTCAAGTCAAGTCACATTTATTTATATAGCGCTTTTCACAATACAGATTGTATCAAAGCACCTGGGTTCATTAGTTTTTTTTTCTCGATCACGTTGGCTCATTAAAGGTAGTGTAGGTCAGAATTAAAAAAATCCCCAAATTTCTTTAAACTTTCTGTATATATCAATACATAATTAAAATCTAAGTACTCTGAAAAAGAAATTATAAAAATCGAGTGTCTGTAGACCTCTCACGACTGTTTTAACTGTGCAATTGTCATAACTTTATTCCATGTCTGAAAAATCAGGCAACTCTCCTGTCCTGTAACTCTCCTGTCTCAAATGGAATAACAATTTGGTATTAAAAAGAGTTTGACCATATTTTTTTTAGATATCACAGTGTATCACAACTCCCATAACTGTAGTAGAAATGTTTTTCTGTCACTTTTCTTGTGTTGTTACTGTACGACTAGAATAACTGGTTGAAGAGATCAATCACACCACAGGTTTTTGAGACGAAGGACCTTGCTTGCAAATTAACATTTGAACACTTCTCACACACACACAGCCATTCCCCACATCTCCCACTTTTGCAGAGATCACCCACACTCACACAACTATATATATAATTTTGAAGGTCTCAGGGTGACTGGTACAGATGTCTAATTCTCAAAGTAAATCAAAAGGTAATAAAGTTCTTAAGAATATAGAAATATCTTAAATACAGAAGGGTGTGTCTTTGAGTTAACATCTTCTGTTCATTTGTCTAAATGCAAATTTCCACTGTTCCTTGCAAATGGTCAACTTCTACTGACTAAACTGATAATAAATTCAAATCTGAAGATCTGAAAAAATTCTAATTCAAGATTTGAGCTCAAGTGACTGAGTAAAAACGATGAAAGAATAGACATTCTTACAACATGCTTAAATGGGTTGCATCAATTTTTAATGACAGACTGATACATCATTTTTACCTTGATTTCTAACACTTCTTGTAAACTTAAGAGCACAATCATGCTCTTAACAAATTAAAGGGGGAGTGGCATTAACAGGAGGAAGCTGATGAATGTTCCAACAAATAAAGATTACAGTAGCTACCACTCGTCAGTCCAGATGGTTCAAATGGTTTCTGTGACATGTGCAAATACACTGGATATCTATGGTGGTCAAGGCAAGACTGGCGGTTACATAGTAAGGAGGATGCTGCTGGGATGCTGGTGAAGATGTCCACCTCTTAGAGCAAGAACCAGATGCAGCACAGAGCCACCCTGGATCTTGTAATCCGCCGCCGTTTTCTCATCATTCCTGAGGTGGAAAAGAATAAAGATAAAAATAAAGAAATGTACTGGAGCAGGATGAGTATGTGAGTAAAATGCCTTACATCTGTTTTCCACTGTAGATGAGTCTCTGTTGCTGGGGTGGGATTCCCTCTTTCTCCTCCACTCTCTCTTTTATTCTCTCCACCTAAATAGAATGAAAACAAAAAAAATCTAATTGTCGTTTACGATTTAAACTATAAAAGACTGCGTGTTAACACACAGCTAACCGTTCATCGTTCAAGTATTTTAAATTGTACCTTGTCTGTGGGCTCGATGTCAATCTCGATTTCTTTGCCAGTGAGCGTCTTTAAAAACAATGCATACGATTAGTTATATATTTAGACATTAAATTTCCTACTGTTAGGTCTGATGCACTTTTTAATAGGCCGTTTGTCTGATTCACAACGCCTTACTATATTTAATGAAATAATGAAATGAACGTTAGCTACTGGCGACCTGTGCTGAAAGAAATGCATATTCTTCGTTAACTTCTTACCTTGACTTTAATTAACATTGTGGCTTCTCTTGTTCTAGAAATTCATGCAGGAAAAAATGGATACAAATTAACTGACGGTAGAAGAAATTCAGATTTCTATAATCAGTTATTCCCACAATTTCTCCAACACCGTATTAGAAGTTCCGGTGTCACTGAAAAATAATTCCTACCAATCTAGTGAATGCACTAAAAGTTCCGATGCGCTTTGATGAGAATAACGGAATTCGATGCCAGAAGACGATTTAGAATGTGTAACATTGACTCATTGTTTTAGATGTAATAAATTAAATTTAGCTTATTTACATTCATCACATAGCTTACTGAACTAACACTAAATAATACAACATTTTAGTTGAATCTAAACTGCGTAACCGGAAAATTGTATAAAATTTGCGACATTTATTACGACAGTGAGCTACGAAGGAAACGTTTTTTTGTAGTTTTTCGCGGAAGGTTTCAACTTAAATCAACGCGGGAGCCGTCAAAACAGAGACTACATGCGCGGAAACAGCGGTAAAAATCCGTCCTCCTAACATGACCGCTTCCAACCCGGAAACAGGTTTCATTCTCTCATGAATAAACCTACAAGAGGTGCACGTCTCCAATTATAGGTAGGGTAATCATTTATTTGTTAAATAAATTATATGGATAGGAACGCATTTATATTTGTTTGTAATAAGCAAAAACATTTAGTGTCAATGTGACTTAGAAGTTATGCTCTATGGCCTTGGACTGGTTGTCTGACAGTTAAGAGTCATGTGCAGAACACATAACGTTAACCAGATGAGATATAGTTAAGGGTCATTTAATTAGATTAGTTTATGATGCAGTGGTTAATTCTCCTGTCTCAAATGGAATAACTATTTGGTATTACTAAGTGTTTGACCATATTTTTTTTTAGATATGTGTATATAAAAAAGGATATTTCCTGTCTCACACAGTGTATCACAACCCCTGCAACTCCCATAACTGTTGTGGGAATGTTTTTCTTTCTCTTTTCTTGTGTTGTTACAGACAGTGAGATACAGTATCAAGGCCATCCTCTTCAGCAGCCATGCCACGTATTGAAAATGATATCAAGCTCGACTTCAAGGACGTGCTGCTCCGACCCAAAAGAAGCACTCTGAAATCTCGCAGTGAGGTTAGTAATTCTTGATAAATTTTCATTTGCATTAAAGTAGACATATTGAGTATCAGGTTTAGTCTGGTCTCAGTTTATTTAAAATTTCATTGCAATCACACATGCAGTACAATGTTAACTACATTTTGGATTCTCTTTCATTACTTCTTCCCACACTTTCTTCTGTTCAGGTGGATCTCATGCGCAGTTTTACTTTCAGAAACTCGAAGGGCAGTTATCGTGGGATTCCCATCATCGCCGCCAACATGGACACTGTGGGGACTTTTGAAATGGCTGTAGCCTTACATCAAGTATGAATGAACTCTTAGAATTTTCACACAGCTGAGCATTGTAAAAAATGTTAAAGAACAGAAAAATGATCACAAATGCAATATCACTGGTCTATATTTTATGTCAGCATGACTTGATGTGGAGTCCAGTGGCCAAAATAGAGCAATTATGTGACCATGTGGAAAAAATTGTACATTTATTGTCATATATCCTGCACCTGTACCCAGTTTTGGTTAGATGCATGAAAAACAGATGTTTGAAATGAATTATTGGTTTTCTAAGAGGGCAAAGAATATTTTTGTGAAATCTTGATATCTATAATTTAGGTTTTTATACTTTTGTATATCCTTTTGTCCATTTAACAGACTGCAGGTGTTTATATATTAAATACGTTATATATTAATAGTTTTTTTTTCTTGTAGTTTACTCTCTTTACAGCCATACATAAGCATTACAATGTGGATGACTGGAAGGAGTTTGCTTCCAAACACCCAGAATGCTTAGAGGTGAGCAACATCTTAGAATCTAGTCTATGGTTCTCTAGATTGTTGATATTTAGATGATCTGGCTCGGACAACCTTCGTCTTTCTATCTGTCTCCAGAGTGTAGCCGTCAGCACAGGGACGAGTGAGGGGGATTTTGAGAGATTGGGGGCCATTGTGACTGCTGTACCTCAAATTCAGTACATTTGTGTGGATGTAGCTAATGGCTACTCCGAACACTTTGTCAACTTTGTGAAAGACGTGAGGCAGATGTTCACTACACACACAATCATGGTCAGTTACCTTTCAACGTCAACAACATTTAAACATTTTGTTTGCATTATCTTATTAGCAATCATCTTAATATTTTGAAATCCATTTGTGTTTTGTAGGCTGGCAATGTGGTCACTGGAGAGATGGTTGAAGAGCTGATTCTTGCTGGTGCTGACATCATCAAAGTGGGCATTGGACCAGGTGACATCATCAGTCACTTACTGATAACGTTTCAGATTGTGTTCCAATTCACATTACACCATTTTCACAAATATCTTCATGTGTGTAGGTTCTGTGTGCACCACTCGTAAGAAGACCGGCGTGGGTTATCCTCAGCTGAGTGCAGTCATTGAGTGCGCTGACGCTGCACACGGCCTGAGTGGACACATCATATCTGTGAGTCTCTTGTGTTTGAGTGCAAATTTCTTTCAATAGAAATGAGTAGTAACAGTCCCACATTGCTACTTGCATGCTTTGTGTAAAAAGAATCTTTGATCATGTATATGTGGGACTCAACTGTTTTTGTCTTTCTGTAGGATGGAGGATGTACCTGCCCAGGTGATGTCTCCAAGGCATTTGGTGAGTCTTGGGCTTTAACACAGATCAGACATTGTTGCACACGAGACAAAAATCCAATTTCAAAATTTTTTGTATCTCTTCTTGGCCACTTCCAAATGGGGTTTAAAATATGGCAGTGAAACAAATAATCGCGATTAATCACATCCAAAATTAAAGTTTGTGTTTACATAATATATGTGTGTGTGTGTGTGTGTGAACTGTGTATAATTATTTTGTATATATAAATACACACACATACATATATAATATATTTAAGAAAAATGTGTTATTTATATATAAAATATTCATGTATATACAATATTTATATATATATATATACAATAATATTTCTTATATATATATATACATACATGCGTGTCTGTGTGTGTGTATTTATATATACAAAATAATTATACACATTTCACCCACATGTATTATGTAAACACAAACTTTTATTTTGGATGCGATTAATCGCGATTAATCATTTCACAGCTCTAGTTTAAAATCAGATACATATCCAAAATCTGGACATCTGACTTGCATCTAAAAACATCCGGTTCCCTATGGAATTCCAAGCCACCAGAAGGCAGGAGAAGCACATTTTCCCACAAAGATAAGCCGACGTGCCTGTACTCAGTCACACAAAGACGAACAGCTTTTTTTTATTGGAAGATTGTGTACACAATGAAACATTCAGGAGCGCCGTCACTTGTTTTGAGCTGCTGCCCTTGAATTTTATATATAAAATAAATAACTTTGCTACTGAAAGCTACACAAAAATATATAAAAAGTTACATTATATTTTATATTGATATTTGGTATCACTTTACTTTGATGGTCCCTTTTGAACATTCTGTTAACGTTGCAACTACATGTCAACTAACTCTCATTAGATCATTAGTAGACTGTCTGGTTAATATCTGCTAAGTCTTTATTGTGATGCTCCTCCAACAGACACTCTACTGACTATAAGTAGCTTTGCAAGTACATATCAACTCATTCTAATCCTACCAGTCTACTAATACTGTAGTGACACTCTGAGAGTAAGTAGACATGTAGGTGCAATGTTACTTATAGTTAACAGAATGATTTAAATTGACCATCATACTGATAAAGCTCACACTATATAGAGACGCAAGTAACTCACACGCAAAATCTCTTTCTCGACTTCATTCAAATAAATGTAATCTACATTATTTCCCTTCAGAATTCTAAATCTAAATGACCCGTTGATAAAATAAATAATAAAGAATAGTGTTATTTTTAATCCGTTCATTCAAATTTTTTGCTGCAAGCATCAATAACAGCTTTGTCTTATCCATGCTGGGTAGTAATTATAGTATAGGTGGGATAATCACATCAGTCCCATGTAAATCACATGCCCATGTAAAGCTTTTTTAATTGGAAACATTTTATCTGACTCCTTAGACTTTTCCCAGGCCTACTGACCTTGACTTCAGAAATACTTCACAGTTTATGGCTATAGAAAGAAGATTAGACTTGAAACATGAGAGAGAGAAAGAAAACAACATACAATAAGATTTCATACAATTTCCCCAGATATTGATTTACACATGTATGTTTACATGTTGAAAAAAAAAGTATATATAATCAAAAGGCTAAAATATAAAGAACTTATATTGTGAATGATGATAATATCCTTCTTCCTTTCTGCACATCCTCCCTTCAGGGACAAACTGCAGACTGAGTGTTCATTTCAAAAGGAAAAACAAAATGTATGTTTTACTTTAAAAGTTAAAGGTAATCTCTGTACCTCATGCTAAATTAACTAATTTATTTGTGTATAAGCAATTGTATTGACTTAGACACATAGGAAAATAATATTTATCTTCAAGTTTCAACCAGTGATTTTTTTTATTTTTTTTTTTTGGCTTATGTTTGATTGGCTAAACTGTGTGACAGGGGCGGGGGCTGACTTTGTGATGCTGGGAGGAATGCTTGCTGGCCATTCTGAGAGTGGGGGCGAAACAATAGAGAAAAACGGCACAAAGTACAAACTGTTCTACGGCATGAGTTCAGACACAGCCATGAAGAGGCATGCAGGAGGTGTAGCAGAGTATAGGTAAGCACATGCTGAAGCTTGTTGATTATTTTGATCTAGTGGTTTGTACATTTCATAACATTCATGTTACCGGTACTTGGTAAATAATGATAATGTAAAAAAACAAGCCTGATGGCCAGTTTGATTTAAAACCATGTATTCTGGTTTAAAACGATTTTCAGACCATTAACGCAACTCGATTTTGATCATATAAAAATGCTTGTCTGTCGTTATTGTGTTTTCAGGGCATCGGAGGGTAAAACGGTTGAAGTGCCTTACAAAGGGCCTGTGGAGGTGACGGTGAGAGATGTGCTGGGTGGAGTTCGTTCCACCTGCACGTATGTGGGTGCTGCTAAGCTGAAAGAGCTGAGTCGTCGTACCACCTTCATTAGGGTGACCCAACAACTCAACACAGTGTTTGGTAATGATAATTAAGCTAGTTCTAAGGTGTAACCAGGTCCATATTGGGCCAAATCATGCCAAATCCATGCAAAGGTCATTTTATTCTCTCCACAGTCATGCACACATATGCTTGTTCCCTCTCTCTCTCACACTCACACATATACAGTATACTTCACATTGTCATTTAGCATTTAATGTGTATTTTTGGATTCACACGTTAGCTTTTGAATTCACCAGATTCTGTATTGGCCACAACATGGGCTTTCTTTTTTCTTTTTTTTGGAAAACTCTCTTTGGAAACTTGGAAAGTTCAGAATTTTTTAAGTATTCAAGGACACTGTAATGATAGTGTAGGTTTTGTGCAGTTTGTGTTTTAGGTCACAATCTGAAATCTTGAGTTAATTTTAAGGTAATTTGTCAAGAATCTATTAGAGCCTTATATTTTATCTAAATAATTCAGACTTTGTTGTGAATTGTATCTAACTGTCTATGCTTAATGTCTTATAATTCTGTGATTTTCTGATTTGATATTCTATTCTCCCTGGACCAATTCAAATCCTTTAATAGATTATTACAGTATTAGCGGTTTGTTATACAATATTCTAAAGACATCCGTTATGTACTACCATTCTATTATATTGCATATATTTGAAGACCAAAGAAGCAAGGGTATTTTTTACCCTTTTAACAGTTTCTGCTGTGTTTGTATGTTGGAAATACAGCAGTATTACACAATCTTTCGAAGTCTTAATACGTTTTTGTCATAGTATTATGCATTTTAGCCTGGTTTGATCGTTAGATATACCACAGACTCAAATCTTTTTTACTGAACTCTTAATTGAGCTTAATAATTTAATTTTTGTCTTTTTGTCATACTATTGATATTCCATTACAGTTAATGTTCTCACTGATTATGATTGAAATTTGCTGATGGAGCAGATTAGAATGAATGTGAAAGAAATAAAACTCATTTCCCCCCTTAACTAGAGCTAGCTAGTGGACGGTTTAATTGAATCCATATTGATATTGATCTTTTTTCTTATATATTTCACTTAAAGATGTTCAGGAGTTAACATTCCTGTATTGTATTCTGAAAATAAATAAATCAATTAGATAATATTGACTTGTGATGTGTGTTCTTGGCCTTTTAGGTACATAATGTTAAATATCTTGAGCATAAGAAAATATTTGTTTACAATTTGAATATATATTATTGCGTTTGTCTCTGTAAAGCACTTGATCTGTTTTTCAAGCTGTATGTAAACATGCTGCCGCCCTTCTTTTATTTCCTCTAAAACCTATAAGTAGAAGTTCATGCAAGAACATATTACATACAGATTATTTAATTTTTTTCACTGTGATTTAATCTCACAGTGTGCATCTTATTGAGTACATCAGTCTGCCTGAAATGAGAGTATGTTACTGCACAGTACACCTGAGTAAAGTCAGTTGCAAAATAATTGCATGGGAGGGGTTATGTTGTTATAAAAGAAGGTGACGTACAATGAGGAGGAACAGGTGGCAATATACACTCTTTCGGTATTGCAGTACACCACAGCTGCACTGAGGACACACCAACTTAGAGGTAATGAAAACATACTCTTTTTTTGTGTGTGCTTGTTAATTGATGAATTTGATGATTTATTTTAATGTTTGAATAATTGTGCAAATGTGGCATTTTCAAATTTAATTTGTAGTGCAAATCTTTTGTGTAATGTCTAGATGCTGCATTTCACATCCTGTCTCAAAACCGGTTTGACAGGTTAAATTTGTTTAAAAGGGAGGGACAGGCAGAGTTATCTTATATCCTAAGAGTGTATTTATATGCTTTGTACAATCATTATTTTCCTCTCCCTCCAGTGATGGCTTCTTCCAGCAGTTCCCAGGCTGCAGAACAGTGCCTGTGTTCAATATGTCAGGATTTCTTCACCGACCCAGCAACCATTCCGTGTGGACACAACTTCTGCATGGATTGTATCAGTAAACACTGGAACAGCAGTATGGAGACTCGATGCCCCCTTTGCAAAAAGTTATTTCACTTGAGACCAGATCTTGACATCAACAGAGAGTTCAGAGATCTCATTGAACAAATGAAAAGGGTAGAAAGCCCCGTCCGACCTGGAGGAATACCATGTGATGCCTGCACAAAAATAAAGAGAGGTGCTTTAAAGTCTTGCCTGCATTGTGAAGGATCTTTCTGTAAAACACACCTAGAGCCTCATAACACCGTAGCAAAACTGAAGAAACACAAACTTATCAACCCAGTGGAGAATCTGGAGGATTATATTTGCCCAAAGCATGAGAGTCCCCTGGAGCTGTTCTGCAGAGATGATCAGATGTGTGTGTGCATGTCATGTACAATAAAAGACCACAAAACCCACAACACTGTTACTGTGGAGGAAGAGAGTGAAGAACGGAAGGTGAGATATGCTTAATCTATATGTATTTGTACTTTCATGATTTTGCCTTAAAAAAAAACACTTCATTTCTGTCCACAGGCTCAGTTTGGGAGAAGGCAGGCTGAGGTTCATTTGATGATTCAGAACAGAATGAAGAAAATTGAAGATATCAAATGTTTGGTACAGCTCAGCAAGGTAATTCTTGTTGCAGATTCATTAAAAGTGTTAATGTGGTCGAAACACAACAGTGATTTATCTATTTAATTATGTACATAAATTGCATTCAAGATATACATTTTAGCAGTTCATTGTCTAGAAAAATTGAGTGGTCTCCTCTAAACAATTATTTAAAGATCTAAATTATTAGAAAAGACATAATAAAAAGAAGTAAATTACAGATCTTGGAAAATCTCTAGGGGCCATGAAGTTTTCATAAGCAGACAAAAATCTAAACTGCACACAGACCACATCCTGTGAAGATGACGAGTGAACAGGAACATTGTTGTGTGTAACAACAGTTAGGAGTTAATTGTCTAGAAAGGTAGAAAAATGATAAATTGAACAATAAAAAAATGTGTGTATTGCTAATGCCAGTGACGCAAACAGGAAAGCATTGACGCAGGTAAAACCAAGCATTGAAGCAAGTAATGTAACGATCAACGCACGCTTGAAATATTTTGACGCAAGTAGAAGCAACATGTACGCAAATGAAGATATATTTCGCGTCATAAATGATTATAAAATGGGGCCTTTTTGAGCTCTCTAGCAGAGTTTTAGATGTGTGTGTTTGTGCGTAAGATCTTCTGTAGAGAGAGCAAGCAGGAAGCAGAAGCCAGCCACAGACCACAACCCTCAGAAACAAACACCTGATTTTCTTAAAGACAGCACTTATATTCAATAAAGATTTAATAAAGAATTTCTTAAAGACAGCACATATATTGAATAAAGACAGGGTAAGCCTTAAAATGGAATTGTGTATTCTGGCCCATTGAACTTCCAGCTTAGCTGGCATAGTATTTAGCTTTTGCCTCTGCAAGAAATAATAAAATGAGAATGAGGACTGCCTTTAAAACTCTAAATAGTTTTGTCCTAGTCTGTTTATTTGCTGATGTTTATTGTAGAGATCAGAGTAGAATATTATATGCCTATCTGACTCCTCCAGAATCCAGGAATTGAGTAATATAAACAGAGGAAGAGTCTTGTGACCAAGATAAGAGTTAAGCACATCATGCATTCTCATTGACCCAAACGTATTTTTACGATTTGGGCATTGATTGAAAACAATCTGAGTCTGAGGCAGGCGATATGTTGAAAAGTTTGATAAAGTGCTGTAGAATGCACCGACCAATCAAAAAATAACACCCAAAAAAGCATTTTTCTTTCACTAACTATCACACAAGCAAATTTGGACAGAAATATTTGTGTGCTATTAAGGTGCTAATAATTTATCTTCATGAATGACTATGTATTTTCATATTTACTTGTATCTCCGACTGATTTTAAAGTGTCGTTTGGCCGAATGAAATGTGCTTGTAGCCACTTAACTGTCACCGTCCCGCTACCTGGACGCCTAAATTTACTTCACTGTATTTCTATTAAATCCTAATCTAATTATGACAAATTATATATCGTTGGAAAGGCTTAAGACTTCTATAAGTAAATATTCTACCCCTGTTTTGTGTTACAAATTATGTAGGAAGAGTTATTGATGAATTTATGACAAGAGTGCACCTCAAGAAAGCTTTTGTAAATAAATAAATACATATTTAATCAAATATTTTATATAATATAAAAATATTTTGTACAGTATTTTGATTTACTGTAAATTTAAACTTCCATAACTTTTTCATGCTTTCATTTGTTTTCACTTCAGCAATAATCTGCTGAGTGTTTTCTTTAAAACAATACCAAACTTGGGTAAATATTCCAAACCATTCTTGAATTACAACCATTTAAGTTTGAATAGTGCATTTTAACCCCCATTCTCAAAAAAAAGAGGGGGGGGGGGGGTGACAGCTAAGGGGTTAAGAACGTACATTTATTGCATGAACGGACCAAAAATGTAATGTAAGTGTATAAAATGCATGCTGAATGCACAAGGCAAATTGTCTGCTTAAAGGGATACTCCTCTTTTTTTGGAAATAGGCTCATTTTACCACATCCCCAGAGTTAAACGGATGGGTTTTACCGTTTTCGAATGTATTCAGCTGATTTTCTGATATTTAGAAGAATATCATTCAGTAACCAGACAGTTTCTGGTCTCATTGACTTCCATAGTATATATTTTTTTATGGAAGTCAATGAGACCAGAAGTCAATGGTTCAGAGCCGGCTGCAGAAACAAACCAATGGACGGGCATTTAATATTGTAGGGGGGGGCCTAATTATGACATCCAATACATTTTTCTATAGGACAAAAACCAACTATTACGCCGATTTCAAGTACCAGGCGTAATTTGCGGGTGGGATATGTCCCCACCGTCGATATTGTACCCACCACTTTTGAAACATTCCGGCACGAATGTACCAATACAAATAAACAAAACATCTTCAGTTAACTAGCAGAGCATTCGTTTCGTTCGTTTTTTAAATAAGAGACGATCTAGCGCTGAAATGTGTTTTTAAAATCAACTGTTCAAATTAATGCTCGTTGCCGCTGGCGCGGATAGGCTAATGTGTTTTTTTTTTTCTGGCTTGCGCACAGTCTTCACTCGGACGCGCAATCCGTTGTGGAGAGACTCTATTCATTACGGTGAAATTAAAACACAAAATGTTCTGAAGATGTTTTGTCTGTGCCTGATATACAACCACTGATAAACATAATCAGTTTTGATGGAAAAAAAAATGTTATTAGAACGGATTAGAACCCAGAATCTCTGGCACGCTTGGCAAAAGTTCTACCCCTGGACCATTATTTACATTCACGTTTAATACAAATATAAAGGTGTAATTGAACGACCACATAAACCTAAATCAATAACTATTTAAATCGATTAAAGGATATCGTAATGTTATTGTACATATCTGTTTTATGATTTAGCATTGTGTCAGGGCTGGTGCAACTTAAGAAGAGTAATAAAAATAACTGTGGCCCACTCATGTTCTTAATACAGCTGAAGTCGACGTTTTTGGGAGTGGAATCTCCGCATGAGTTATTCAATACATTATTTTTATTTTTAAAATAAATTTCTTTTTAAAATTTATTAATTGCAAATTGCATGGAGAGGGGGGCACAGGCGCTCGGTAGGCGGGCCCGGCCACCTAAGGCCCGCCCATAGCGCCGGGTATGGCCATGAGACTTAGACCTGAGTGCAAAAATGGAGGCTCTAGCCCCTTCCAGAGCTGAGATATCGAAACTCAAAAATTCGGCCCGAAAAAAAAAACGACAGTGGTACCCCTTACGTTTTTTTTTTTTGGGGCGAAAAATTAAGTTTCTCCAATCTTCCCAAAACTCTGGATTCTGATAGAGGGCCATGAGACTTAGACCTGAGTGCAAAAATGGAGGCTCTAGCCCCTTCCAGAGCTGAGATATCGAAACTCAAAAATTCGGCCCGAAAAAAAAACGACAGTGGTACCCCTTACGTTTTTTTTTTGGGGCGAAAAATTAAGTTTCTCCAATCTTCCCAAAACTCTGGATTCTGATAGAGGGCCATGAGACTTAGACCTGAGTGCAAAAATGGAGGCTCTAGCCCCTTCCAGAGCTGAGATATCGAAACTCAAAAATTCGGCCCGAAAAAAAAACGACAGTGGTACCCCTTACGTTTTTTTTTTTGGGCGAAAAATTAAGTTTCTCCAATCTTCCCAAAACTCTGGATTCTGATAGAGGGCCATGAGACTTAGACCTGAGTGCAAAAATGGAGGCTCTAGCCCCTTCCAGAGCTGAGATATCGAAACTCAAAAATTCGGCCCGAAAAAAAAACGACAGTGGTACCCCTTACGTTTTTTTTTTTGGGCGAAAAATTAAGTTTCTCCAATCTTCCCAAAACTCTGGATTCTGATAGAGGGCCATGAGACTTAGACCTGAGTGCAAAAATGGAGGCTCTAGCCCCTTCCAGAGCTGAGATATCGAAACTCAAAAATTCGGCCCGAAAAAAAAAACGACAGTGGTACCCCTTACGTTTTTTTTTTTGGGCGAAAAATTAAGTTTCTCCAATCTTCCCAAAACTCTGGATTCTGATAGAGGGCCATGAGACTTAGACCTGAGTGCAAAAATGGAGGCTCTAGCCCCTTCCAGAGCTGAGATATCGAAACTCAAAAATTCGGCCCGAAAAAAAAAACGACAGTGGTACCCCTTACGTTTTTTTTTTTTGGGCGAAAAATTAAGTTTCTCCAATCTTCCCAAAACTCTGGATTCTGATAGAGGGCCATGAGACTTAGACCTGAGTGCAAAAATGGAGGCTCTAGCCCCTTCCAGAGCTGAGATATCGAAACTCAAAAATTCGGCCCGAAAAAAAAACGACAGTGGTACCCCTTACGTTTTTTTTTTTGGGCGAAAAATTAAGTTTCTCCAATCTTCCCAAAACTCTGGATTCTGATAGAGGGCCATGAGACTTAGACCTGAGTGCAAAAATGGAGGCTCTAGCCCCTTCCAGAGCTGAGATATCGAAACTCAAAAATTCGGCCCGAAAAAAAAACGACAGTGGTACCCCTTACGTTTTTTTTTTTGGGCGAAAAATTAAGTTTCTCCAATCTTCCCAAAACTCTGGATTCTGATAGAGGGCCATGAGACTTAGACCTGAGTGCAAAAATGGAGGCTCTAGCCCCTTCCAGAGCTGAGATATCGAAACTCAAAAATTCGGCCCGAAAAAAAAACGACAGTGGTACCCCTTACGTTTTTTTTTTTTGGGCGAAAAATTAAGTTTCTCCAATCTTCCCAAAACTCTGGATTCTGATAGAGGGCCATGAGACTTAGACCTGAGTGCAAAAATGGAGGCTCTAGCCCCTTCCAGAGCTGAGATATCGAAACTCAAAAATTCGGCCCGAAAAAAAAAACGACAGTGGTACCCCTTACGTTTTTTTTTTTGGGCGAAAAATTAAGTTTCTCCAATCTTCCCAAAACTCTGGATTCTGATAGAGGGCCATGAGACTTAGACCTGAGTGCAAAAATGGAGGCTCTAGCCCCTTCCAGAGCTGAGATATCGAAACTCAAAAATTCGGCCCGAAAAAAAAACGACAGTGGTACCCCTTACGTTTTTTTTTTTGGGCGAAAAATTAAGTTTCTCCAATCTTCCCAAAACTCTGGATTCTGATAGAGGGCCATGAGAC